AATGAAAATAAAATATTTTCTCTCTCTTATTAATTTCATTCTCCAATTCATTTATTTTTTCTATCAATTAATTTTTATTTGTTCAGAAAGAGAGAGGAGAGACATCATGATCATGAGAGAAGAGAGAGAAATGAGTTAAATCCACTAATTAAGCCACTAATTATTATTCATAACAGTATTCAATTTTTTTTTAAAAAAATATCTAATTTATGCACTAATTTAGAAGCTTAGTTAATATAATTTAATTTTTTAATTTTAATTAAAAAAAATTCTTCTTATGGTATATTACGTACCTCTCATTGAAACTTAATATCAATAATAAAAAGGGTCATTAGAAATAGAATCTTAATTAAATAAAAAAAATATTTTAAAGATGTATGGTATCATTGAATAAAATAAAATTAGTTAAAATTTGTTCATACTTTAATTTATTATTCATGAATTCGTTTTACTTAGAGTATAGATATTAAGAGTACAACACTTCAATCTCACAAATCCAAATAAAAATCCATACTTTGATCTTATTATAACGTATTTAAAAGATAATTGCCCTTCCCGGTTCGTGTATCAGCTGGTACTAATTCATCTATCTGTTAAGAATTTTATATACAGATATCAATAACTCCAAATACTTTTGTCATCATCTCCATTTTGGTCAAATTGGATTTTAAATTTTGGCACAACCGGTTGAATCATGGTTAACTTATATATATTTTTTTTCACTTTTTTTATTTGCAAAATCTAACATTACTCATAATTAATATATACGAGCAGGATATACCATACCATCAGGCTGGTCAATCATGGTGTGTCCCCCGGCTGTGCACTTGAACCCAGTGAAATATGAGGATCCTCTTGCCTTCAACCCATGGAGATGGCAGGTGTGTCTAATATTTTTTTCATTCTTTCCAAAGCTTGCATTCATAGTTGCTTTAGAGAATCTAAGAAATTGATGTATGAAAATCATGAACTACATCCTATTTTTGCGTGTATAGGTTGAAAAAGGAAAAATTGGGTAAAAGAGAGAAAGTGGTAGATTATAGATTATGCATAAATGACATAAAACAATAAAATAACTAAAAATTAAATGAAAGAGAATTTTATGGAGACTTGGGATAATAAGGGGAGAAATTTTAGATCAGAACCTCTCTTTTGTTATCTTTGTTAGTTTTTGTTTATTGATGAAAGAGAAACTAATCATACCATAATAATGATAATCTTATTGATGTTGTTAATTTCACTAGCTTGTAATTATACCACCTAGCTATAAATTTATATAATTATATAAAAGAAATATTATTTTTTAATAATTACTTTTGATATGTACCATTTTAATTTTTTTATTTTCTATAATTTTTTAAAACTATTTTTTCATCAATAATTTTCTTTTCTTTTCTTTATTTATTGTATTGTGAAATTTCTCATAAATAACTGCACGTTTTTTATTTTTAAACTATTCACAGATAATTCTTCACAAAATACTATATTTTTTTTTTAATTTAGTGTAGATATGGAGTACCTTTTTAGTGTTGGTATTCAAGTAATTTAATAGGATATAATTACCATCATTTGGGTTCTTTTAGATTTACAATTTTTTGGCTTATTAAAAAAATCAATTTAGTGACCCAAAAAAAGTGACCTGTAGGGAATGGAAATGAATGCTGCTAGCAAACATTTCATGGCTTTTGGAGGAGGTTTGAGATTTTGTATTGGGGCAGACTTCGCGAAGGTTTAGATGGCTGTTTTTTTTCATAACTTGGTATCAAAGTACAGGTAAGATTATGAAATAGACAAATGGCAATGCCATACATGAATAATATATATATATATATATACTTGTATGTGTGTGTTAATTTAAGTTGAAACATCTTGAAACGTAAAATTATTTCAGTTGGCAAACAATCAAAGGAGGAAATATTGTTCGAACTCCTGGTTTACAATTTCCGGATGGCTTCTGCGTCCAGATTATGCAGAAAGATCAAAGGAAAGCATGAACCAGAATCTACATTTACAAAATAATAAGTAGTATTGTTAAGAATAAATTATTTGTTTGGATACAAATTTAAAAATATTTTTTTAGAATTTTTTTATTAGAAAATATATTTTATTTTTAATAAAGAAATTCTTGAAAATGCTTCTAACTTGTTTCCAAACATGTTCGAGATGTACTCCCCTTCCCCTTGCTCTTTAATTATAAATCAATAATGTCTTTGTGTGTGAAGGAGTTTGTTGTAGTAATAGAATGAGTTATTCGCAGTATTTTGTGTTTAGAATAGCATCCTGTCCTACCAGGAATTAATGTACTAGTTTTAAGAATATTTTTCGTATTTTTTTACCACTGGCCTTTATTTTAGTGTAGGGGTTGTTTTTAGTTAGAATGTAAATATGTTGAAGGGCTATATATACAAAAGCCATTATTGCTTGTTGCTAATAAGATTATTCAGTTAAAATTGCTTACATACCCTTGCTTTAGTTCCTAAATTTTTGCATTAGAGCCCTTAGTGGGTCGAAGAAGAAAGTTCGCAGCTTTCAAAGTGATTTAAAAACATGGGAGCAAGAGATGGATAGAGTTATGATGAGTCAAGGGAATTTTGTGCAACCAACAATTCTTCGATTAGATATTCTCAGGTTATGTTATGATTTTGTATTCGTTTGAGATGATGTATGTTGTATATTGGAGTTATTATACATATTCACATGTCTTTCATGTTAGTAAGATATTGTCCGCTTTGTGTCTAGTCTTTACGATTTTGCTTTTAAATACCACTCAAAAGACATCTCAACCAATGGAGATAATCACCTGTATATAATGCTCATTAGGTAATTCATATAAGCACAAATTCTCCTTCTCTAAAAGAATAAAATATCTTATATGTTAAACTCATACAAAATAAAATAACTACAAAAGAAAGCAAATTAATATGTATTTCTTTCTCCTTAATCCACATTGTTGTCTGAAGCTCTGTATTTGGGACATAAATCAAACAGATTACAAGCTATCTTACTAATGTGAACTATGTCTATATGATAAAAAATCACATCAACTTTCTAAACCAAATTGTTTTGCTCTTTCTTTCACGTCAATACCTACCCTGCCCCAATTTAGATATCTAATCCAAATTGTGTGATCATTGTTTAATACTCTCTAAACCAAAAGTGGCATGTATTCAGATAAAGCACCTTGCTGGCATGGGCATTTTACACTACCATCCTCTAGCTAGTTACTGTCAATCACCAAGTCAGCCACCAAGGATTGTTAGATCAATGTACTATTAACCTCTACGTTTTGTCTATTCAATTCTTGCTTTCTCTAGCTATGTATATTAAAAAAAAATACAACAAACAAGAAAAAGTGTTTGAAATTCATTACCTGCTATACTAAAGTTATTCTTTGATAAAAAGTGCAAAGATGTAATGCTGCAATTTATTTAATTGACTACACTCTCATGTACATTATGCCTGGAACTATACTGACACATCCAAATTCCTCTCAAAAGGAAATTAAGGATAGAAAAAGGGTTATTGGCTAAGCCTTCAAGGACACAAAATTTTCATAAGCCACCGATAAGGACAAAAATAAAGGAGGGAGGGGGCAAGGGGGAAATTCTCCTCCTTTCTTGTAAGAATTTTAAATAAATTAGAGAATTAAATTTTTTTTATCATTCCCAGGTGTGTGATACATAGCGTTAGGAAGTAACAATCCATAAGGACAAAGGCTCAAGGCTCAGTTTTCAAACTATTTTCAAGACATTAATATTAGATTTAGTTAACTTGTAAAAAAGGTGGAAGCTAAAACATTTGATTCTCCTGTCCTCTACCAAGCCATATCCAAAATAAACAAAAAAGGAACCTTTATCAGCCTATTTTATATGAAAATCAGAATACGAGGTAAAAGTTTCACCTACGAGATAACTACCTAGGTACAAACGGTACAATCCAGTAACTATTTATTTGAAAATTCCATTGGTAGCAATGTTAATAGTGACAAGAAAAGGATGCAAGTCAAATGCGGCGGTTAAGTAAGCATAATTAGATCAAATATGAAAATTATTAGAATCTCCACAAAGACCACTTGTTCTATTTCATTTTATAGCAAACAAAAACCCTAAAAAAATACAAATTACTCCATACCCTCAAACCAACATTCACGAAATTCTCAACAGAAAGACACAAATCAAGGGAAAAGAGAAAGAGATACCAGAAAGGAGTTGCAGATGCAGAGAGGTAAGGGCCAAGAGAAACGAGTATCGCATAGAAAAGGGGGTTAACCCTAGAAAGTGCGAGAAAGATGGTCAGCGGAGAATGGGAAGTTTATACCTGAGGGTCAAGATTGCCGACATAAGCAGTGGCATCTTACTTCCTCTCGGCGACGTGATGACAAAGCAAATTGGCTCCAACAACAGGCACAATTCTTCAGAGAGTGATGAGAAGCTTTCGTTTGGAGAGGGCTTTCTACGGAGATGGCGCAAGGGCTTGCTTTGGAGATGGCACGCGTGGGTGAGGGAAAGTTATTCACTACTACATCGGTCATAAAGGGAACCAATGTAGATATGTTTACTTTATTTCTCTTTATTTACAAAATTGTTACCGCGTTTTCAATTCTACATCGGTTCTCCAATAAATCAATGTAAAATATTCAATATTTACATCGTTTGCTCTTAAAATCGATGTAAATTTGTTTTATATTTTTCAAATAATTACAAAAATACTATCATATTTTGTTTCTACATCGTTTTTACTAAAATCGACGTAAAATTGGTGACGTTGAAGAGTCCTTTTCTAGTAGTGCTTGTTTGAATGATGTGGGACTTTGCTTGCATTCCAACAATCATCCCCTTAAACAAAGGACCATGGTTCTACCCACCATTAGGAAGACTTTCGATACAAGGGATCCTATACCCAGATTCACCTGCCAACTCCATCATACTCGTCAAGCCGGTCACCTGGTCGACCATCGGCTTTGATACCACTTTTTTTTCACTAAGGGTTACTACACTCATAGACATCACATTGGTAAGATATTGTCTACTTTAGGCCTAGCCCTCACGGTTTTGCTTTTGGATACCACCCAAAAGGCCTCTCAACCAATGGAGACAATCATGTATATATAAACTCATGTCCATCTTCTTGTTTGAATGATGTGAGACTTTCCTTGCATCCCAACACTGTATTTATCAATAGGAGAGTTAGTATATCTTGTTGTATTATCAATTATATTTTGCAAACACAACTCTATAATAATAAGATATTATTCACTTTGCGTCTAAACTTTTAAGATTTTAATTTTGATTATCATCCATAAGACTTATAACTAATGAAGTATGTGTGTATTTTATAAACTTATATTTTTCTATTGGTTCTAATGATGTAGCACTTGGTTTGTATTCTCACATATATGATGGTCATTGAAATTGAAAAATTCAATTACACAGTCTCCTCAATTGAAGAGTGATTTACACTACTACAGGGGGCACAATTTAGATTCACTAGTGGCAAACAGGGGATCGATGTTGGTGTTACACTTTTGACAAGTATATCAATTGTCGTATGTAATAAATTGGACAAAAGTTTAAGTTATCAAATTCGCAAGAACTTAAGTTATAAGTTTTTAACTAAACCTTGGTATTAAAGAGATGAATTAATAAAAATTTAGCTTTGTTCAACACGAAATGTAAAATTTATAAAAATAAAATTAAAAAGCATGTAATAGAGTATAATGAAGAGTTTGAATTTATAATATCAGAATAGTCAGTGATTAATTCACTAACTTTCCTCATGCAAATTCTCTTAAATTTTCATTCAATATTGAAATTATATATTTAACTCAACAACCCACAATTATATTTAAACATTAACTTCTTAGGTGAGAAATTTTAGATTGTTTACATCCCAATTCCTTAGTAATTTTTGTTAAACAACATGCATTAAGGTCAAGGATCAAAGGTTAACTGTTAAGATTTATCTTATTCATAACAATAAATGTTATCAACATTTTATCTATATTTTAATCTTAAAAGGGTTTCTCAACCTCAATTAAAAATTATATATAAAGTCATGCATATATGTTGATCAAGCCACAAGTATTAAACACAAGGTAAAAATGATTAACTGAATAAAGACATTTATCAAATGAAAACACATAGAAATTACATAGGTATAGTAGCTACTTCAATCTCCAACTATAAACTTAGTCACTCATAACTAAGGATTACATAATAGAATAGGGACCTTTGAGCGATCCTTACTTATAAGATTCATCATAAGATCTTTGTCTAATCTCTCTATTTAAAATTATTCTCATAAAAAGTATGATATAGAGACCTCCTAAGAACTCTATTTTATAATATTTTGTAATCGGCTTTTATTCATGTACGCTCACTCAAAGTGCCCATGTAACTCACTTTGAGTGAGCTTGTTCGACCTTCTAGAGTTGTTTTTTGCCTTGACTAGCTCAAAGCCCTTTGTGGCCACTCTAAGAAAATTTTGCTCCTTTAGAGTGAATAATTTGCGCATTTAAAGCAAGCTAATAGCATCTTCAGGGAAAGATCTCTAACTTGGCTTGCTTCAAGCTAAGGCTTGGTCGCTTCGAGTGAATTTCACTCACTTAGAGTAAGCATTCCACCCGCTTAAGCAAGTTAGCTTGATCTCCAAGGTGTAGTCTCTGATTGGCTCGCTCAGAAAAAGTTGTTGGGCGCTTTAAGTGAATTTGTTCCACTTAGAGTGCATCTAATTGGTCTTAGAGTGATGGTTTCAAACTAATAGCTTCCAAATTATATTATCCATGTGTTCCAACTCAACAAAGAAAAAGTATTAAAAATATCTAATATTAAACAATTATATCCTAAAATAAAATTAACTTTTGACCAAATGTTTTGTGGTTGAAAACAAAAATTTGAATCATAAGATATATTAATGATTTCATAATTTGAATAATAGTTGTATACATGTTTGGGGATTATCAAAGTACACCAAACTTAAAATCTTGCATGTCCTCTAGAAAATCATATATCAAATATTATGTTTCTTAAGATGCATCAAGTACACTTAATATGGACAAATTTTATTATTTAAAAGTTCTTTTCCTAACTATTCAATCAATCACATTATCTGTTATAGTAGCAACATCAGATCCACACAATAAATGCATGAAAAATTTTCAAAGAGACTAAGACTCAGGACACTCACAATTATGTACTTCAATATTATCTTCACCATTGTTATTTTCAAATATAATCACGTGGTTAGTGTTTCACTCAATTCACAAATTCGACACCACCCAATTTAGTTGTGTTTTTCATCTTTCCTTTTTCAGAATAATTGTGTGAGAATCATAAGTGTAATTACTAAGGACTATCTTTGGCTTGTAATGTGGCTAGGCTACAAAGGAATTCATTGTTTTTATGGAAATCAATAACACCTAAGGCTTTGGAGAACACTTAAATGTATTATTTTAAATTTTACAGTTCCCTCTAGAACTCCCAAAGCACTTTTAGATTTGTACATTTCTTCTATTATAAAATATTTTCTTTTATTTGTCAAATGATTTTTGTTTTAGCAAAAGGGTACTTGATACCTTGTATTAGTGCATGGATCATCTTCAAACTTTTTGATATTTTTATGAGTGTAACATGCTCACACTTAACTTAGAACCTTTCTTATTATTATTACCAAATTTTTCTCCTTATTCCTAAAGTTGTAGGGTAACAGTTTGTTTTTCTGATAATTGAATTTTAATGAAACAAAAAAGTTGGTGTTTGGCTCAAAGGGGTAACATGTGTCAAACAAAAACTTTTAGATCAGTTTTTTGGCTAGTGGGTAAAAATAAAATTACAACTGTCTTAATCATGCCCCAACATAGAGATAATGTCACACAATTGCAAGATTGAAGCAAAACCAATTGAGTAAAAGAAAATGCAGACACTCAATCATGATATTTATGGGTCTCTCAACTCACTAGCTAGGATCTTTGAAAAAAACATAATAATTCATGTCAAATTTTCCAATCTCAGGAAAATAAACATAAACATTCAAAGTGATTTCACCTCCACCACTACCATAAAAGATTTTTCTTTTACCAAATAGAGTTGATAGTTACTTATTAATAAAATAAAAAAAACTTATTCGTAGAGATGAAGATCAACCAGATTTTGCTCTAGCTTCGTCTTCTGCTTATCCAGGTAAGGGGGGAGTGAGAAACCTCTCTCGGGAGTGTGGGAATAATTGTTGGGTAGCAGGATTGGCCCCCAATCCTTTGTCTGATGCATGCTTTTAGGAACAGGCAAAATATGAATGTTTTCTATTTTATTTTCTGATTGCTATGTTGTATTCCTTGTTGGATGTGATGTGTAAATATGTGATTAATTTTGAGAATAAATATATTTTGATATGAATTAGAGTGCTCTATGGGTTCCTACGGAAACCCTAGGAGAAACAGGCAAATTTTAGATGTTTTTTGTTTCGAATTCTGAGTATTCTATTGTGTTCCTTGCTAAATGTTGAGCATGAATGTATATTTAATTTTGAGTTTGAAGATGTTTTGATATGAATTAGAATGTTCTGTGGGTTCCTGTGCGAAACCCTATGAGGAACAATTATGAATATGATTATGAGGCAATGTGAAAAGTGAATATGACATGATGATGATAAGAATCTCCAAATGATAATCTTATGAGTACGACTATGTGAAATATGAACAAATGACATGAGACATGATGTGAATGACATGTTATTATGAGCACTATGACTATGAGAATGTGAAACGTGATGAAATGAGATAAGACATGAAATGTCATGACAAGTAAAGTAATGAGTCCATAAGTTTGTGAATGTGTGACATGCATCATATGCATCTATGTGAAGGGTATGATGTGGAGTACACCGTTAGGGAAGGCCCTCCTTGTGTAACAGCTTCGGGGAGTCCTAGGGGATAGTGCGGTTTGGATGTCTCGATTTCGCCCATTTGTGAGCACGAGACGTAACTTGCGCAACTTCGCTATCCCAACCAGACCCTAGCAATACATCATTCTAGTTGAGAGTGTATGGGTAGCTCCCTACATGTACTCCTAGACTACCCTAGGTGTGTTGTTTAGGCAGCACACTAGTGATATATGATTATGAGACACATGACTAGCACCATATGTATGCATCTATGAGTCAAGTCCATGATATCATTTCATGATGAATGATTGTGTATGTATTACTATTATATGTGAAATTTGAATTTGCACCTGATTAATGAGTAGCTATGACTGTGCTTGTATGATTTGTGTGTGTGTTGCCTAACTGTTATTTCTACACCTAGAACCGAGTGAGATGTTTCTCACTCCCTTGTTATTCTTGTATATGTTTAAATTGTGTTGCAGGTGATTGTCATCATGAGGATGTTGGTGATGAGGCTTAGGCTTCAGTTGGGCATGCTCTGATAGGATATGTGACATCGGGGCATAGGTAGGCTTAGTTTAGGATGCTATTTCTATTCAACTATTTGAAAACTCAATTTTATTTCTTTGTAATTTAACTG